GGGGGCGGTTGTAGTTTTTTCTTATTGCTTATAAATGTCGTAACAAGTTGTACATATGTTATAAAAATGTGTACTTGTTAATTTTTTTAATATTAATGGAAAAGCGATCAAAACATTGCTCACTTAAAGACATCAACTAACAACCCTGATTTTCACAACATAAAGGAAATCTTGATGACCGACGGTCTCTGTAATTTCCAAAGGTTGAGGGTGAAAACTAGACTTTTGATAAACCTCGTGAATGAGTTTTGCATTTTACTTTTAATTTTTATTTTAAAGTGAAGTATGTGTAAACCTCTTTAATTTATGATTTCATAATAAGTATTTTAACATTTATATAAACTATAATGATACTCGCACAATGCAACGAGATAAATCTCGATTTTAATGTTTAATTTTTGTTTTTGTCTTTATCAATATATACGATTTTATATGGTTTTGATAAAGCGATAAGGTTTTTATTTTTGAATGAAATATAAATTGGAAGATAACATAAAAATTTGAAAATAAATAAATCGATATTAGTATAAAATTAATTATTTAACAGTACTCGTTTTTTTATGTAACTTTTTAATTCAATTTTTTGTAATAATTTAATTTAGATTTAATAACAAAGTAATTTATGTTTGGTTTAATAATATAATTTTTCTATAAAGATAATAATTAAATATTCTGTTAAAATTCAATAATTATCTTAATTATATTTTAGATATTCTATATTTAAAATTGATGTTTATCGTATATTTGATTATGTTTATATGCAGTTAGTTATACAAATTTAAAGATGAAGCTTTAATAAATTATATTAACGTAAAGTTACTTGTAATATTGAATTTTAAGTAATATGCATCAATAAGCAGTATTGTATGCATAAAAAATGGTTTTTAAGAGTTCTTGTCAAATGTTTTGTAATATATTATATATATAACAAGGATCAGAGGGGCCCGATGGTACTTGTCAACGCCTTTCTAATTCCGTTGCTTATCACCGAGTACTTTGAACTGGGTTTCTTTATAAAAAATTTAATATGACCCATGAAAATAAGTGATCATACTGTGAATCAATTTGCATATGTTTTTATGATTTTTTCTTTGAATTTACAAATATTTAATTATTTAAGCATGCAAGTTAAACATACATATTGCTTATTATTTACTAACAATGCTAACAGTGTGAAAAGCAGACGATGAATCGATGATTGTAATGTTACTTCTCGATAATGTTTTTGAATTTTGATTAAATTATTTCCAAATTGTTTAAAATATTGTTTGGATTTATATGATTGTAGGAAAATATTCATTTAAGAAATGACAAGTATTTGAGAAGTGAAATAATGATCCTAAACTTTCATTTGGTCACATTTGTGGCTTTGACTGTGAAATACCGGATAATTCATTGCATAAGTACGCAGAAGATAGATGAGTACTTTTGTAACTTTTACAAATTAGGTAGCAAACGAGTTCATATGTGAACATGCTAATCAGTTCATTGTGAATTAGTTAATTAGTTCATATGTGAATCAGTTAATTAGTTCATATTGAATTAAGTAATTAGTTAATCTGTGAACCAGTTAAAACATTTCATACGTGAATTACATGTGTTCACACATGAATCCATTTGCTACCTAGTTGTAAAAGTTATGAAACTATCTCCTCTTTTTTTGCATAGCTACAAATTTTGACTAGTCAAAGATTTGATCTTGACCGTATGAAGGGATAAGATCACTTATTTACTTCTCAAATATTTATCGTTTATCAAAATAACATATGATTGTGATTATAATATACTAAATTCAGACCAATGTTTTACTCGTTAGTCATAAAGCCGAACCGATTTGTAAAAAGTTAAATCTGAATAAAAATTATACGAAAAAACAACATTAAAGAATTATAAGTGCAAGTTAATAACTAATCAAATGACATTTCTGTAATTTACATTTCATTCTTCTCGTTACTTAATTAATAGAGTTAATTGTTAACGTAATCTCTCTTATAATTTTTCAAAATCAATAAATATGTACAAAATCATAAATTAAATACTTTTTTAATAAAACTTTCCAAAATTTTGAATTTCTTTATTTCAGTAATTATCTGTTACATATTTAGAATTTGTCTCTAACATATAACTCAGTTAACAAATATAATGAGATGACTTTGTTTAAATTTTAACTCAGTTTAAAATTTGTACTGCATTACGTGAGTACCTTTCTAATATATATATATATATATATATATAGGGGCTTAATCAAATGAGAACTGAGTTGTTTGTGGTAACTGTGAGAACCAATATGAGCCAATCATTTAAATAATTAATGTTATATCCTAAAATAACATAAAGGGTAAATTGGTAATGTTATAATTATAAAACCCTAGATGCTTTAGGTACTCTTCTTCTTCGTCTACTTCTTCTCCGGCCACCCTCACCACCCCCATCTACTTTTTCATCGACGGTTTCATCTTCTACAACCATCTCATCTTCTCCTTTATTAGAAAACCTTATCTCTCTTCTTTGATTTGGCCCTATGAAATCAACAACCCTTTTTGGTTTTGCTTTGATTGTTTCTTTGATGGCTTCAAAGCATTGACTGGGACTTCCTGGAGTGGTTCACGAGGCAGACGACGGAGACGAGACACGACAGAGGCGGTGCGAAGGGGAAGGTTCGGGTGTGCTTTGCCTATTTCCTCGTCCCTGTGTTTGTGTTAGTTCGTACGGTGGTGCAGGGGTGCRTGCGTGTGTTGCGGAAGGTGAAAGGGAGAAGGGAGATAAGGAGATGATGGCTGCAACAATGAAGGGGTAGTCGGAGAAGATGGATTGAGAAAGGAGGAGACGGGTAAAAATTCTGTGGTACATGGTGGTATCCAAATTGGTAATACATTGGGTAATGGATATCACAAGGTGGCCGGAGAAGATGGATTGGGAAAGGAGGAGACGAGTGAAAATTATGTGGTACATGATGGTACCCCAATTGGTAATACATTGGGTAATGGGTATCACAAGGTGGCCGGAGAAGATGGATTGGGAAATGAGGAGACGAGTGAAAATTCTGTGGTACATGGTGGTACCCCAATTGGTAATACATTGGGTAATGGGTATCACAGAGTGGCCGGAGAAGATGGATTGGGAAAGGAGGAGACGAGTGAAAATTTTGTGGTACATGGTGGTACCCCAATTGGTAATACATTGGTACCTGCCGGATTAATGTT